TCGTGTGGTCGTATGTCACTGGCCGCTACCATGGCTATGGTAATCCGCTGCTGACTGGGGAGATTTTCAGTGGAACTTGGCTGCTCCATCCCATGGTCACCGTCGTCTTGCCATAGCAGTTCAAAATGGATATCAAACATTCTAGTACGGAAATAAAATCTAAATCATCCATCATCTCCACAATATATACAGTTCCCAAATCGCGAATGTTGATGATGTTCCTCGGCCAATGAGAATGCAGCACAGCCTGGGTTGCTAGTGGCTGGTGGGAGAGAGGAGACAGCTGACCCCTGGGCATTTCTTGCGAACTTTGTGGCCGCCAGATCTGGCCAATCAGCGCTGCCAGATAACTCGGTAAATATCGTTCTTACTTTGGAAAACTTTTTGCATGACACCTGTTTTTTTTCCTCCGCCCACTCACGCAACCGTAAAGCTTCCATCCTCTACCCTTGTGAGGGATTGGTTTTCTTACCACAGCTCCTAGCGGCGAAGTTTCCCAATTCTCCTAAGCAGCACAAGTGAGGGATAAATTTTCTCTGGCCAGTGTTTCTTTCTTCCTTGCCCTCTGCTCCAATTTGCCCTGAAATACTTCGAGAGTTTTTCATCCCGCGGCGGCAGCGTCTCGATCTTGGTGGTAATGCAGGGAAAGCTATTTCTCGCCACTGTGGGCGTATGCCACGATCATCATGTTCCACAAACAAGGTGGCCACTGTGGCATGGAATCTAAGATGGATCACACTCAGCTGGAGCACCAGAGTTTAAGAATTTGAGTCATAAGCCTTAGGTGCATATGTTTCTAGACCTCGATCTCAACGTCAATGCAAGTGTCTGGCAATGAGCTATGTCTCCCCAGCAATTCTACACTGGCTCTTTCTCTCACAGATCTCGAACCAAAAGTGTTAATATTTGTGTTCGGTTCCAATGTAGCTGTTGTGGAAAGACGAATTGATTGTACCTTTTTACTAGCATTTCTTCTCTTGATCCTTGTGCTGTTGGGAGGAAAAACTGATTAGGAGAAGTGTGCCCGTGTTCCCAGAGCACAGGTGCAAGTTAGTTGGAGCAGGTCAAGGCCATAGGTAAAGGCAAGTTGTTCGAGAGATTTTCCATCTCTATAGAAGTTGGGACATATGATATAGCTTGCATTAATGTTCTCTTTTGGCTTTCTTCTTTTGCATATTTCGTAAAGCAACTTAAAAGTGAGTTATAAATAATTAATTAAAATTAATTAGAACGAAGACAACTGAAAACGAATGAAGATAAACAAAGACATGTGGCAGATTGTGATTGGCTTGGAAATACTTTTGCAGTGTTTTAAGGTTCTAGAATATTCACTTACATCAAAGGGGGCATTTATAACATATCAATGCTGTTCATTCTTCTGGTGGGATAATCAGCTTAATGGCATAATTGAGCACAGAGCAATGATGGATGACTCAAGTAGAAAGTTTTAGTGAAATACTTATGGACTAAGGCAGCTTGACAAGCACAAGTTTGAGGGTCAGCAGGTTATAAACTATTCAGGTCAATAGTGAGGACCTCTTTCTTCCTTAGTTGCTGTAGATGTGACTTAGTATTGGATTTCCATTTCTTGCAGAACTCCTTTGAAGAGTCTATAGATCATCACCACCTCAGCAGGATTGATGCCTTTTAAGAACATCTCAAGAATGCTCCATGGGCTCTGGTATGGCAATGATGGATCTAACTTTGAGTTCCCTGTCTCGAGAATTCCAATTAGAGCTTTAGTGGTTCTAGCATTGCGAGTAGTCTAGCTCTAGTAGCAAAAGCTGTAGCATTGCCTCGTGCATGATGAATTGTCTTCTTCCAAGCAGCATCATGGACAATACAACACCTGCAACCATCACCATCAAATCTTGCACATCCATAGCAGGGGCCATGAGTTTTAAACCACCTCTGATTCTTGTGACAAAGTCAAGCTCATTGATTACACCATGAGTATGGCAGTGGCTTTGACTTCACTAGCACCACCAGCTGTGAGTACTTCACCAAAAACTTCTACTTCACCACTGAGAACAAGTCTCATGAGCTCCATTGCCATGAAAAAGTGTAAACATGGGGTGGAGAGGAAAGGAAAGTATATACCCCCACCCCTCACCCAAACACCAAGTTATCAATGACTATCCTTTCAATCTCCTAGGAACAAGGCAAGAAATTTGCATTTGGTACATGTATGCTAGAGCTGAAGGCAAAGTATCCTTCCATGTTAGATTCTAGAGAATGCTAGACCTTGGAGTCTGCCACTTTGCATCTCTCCTCTCTCTCACGAAAGGCAAAGAGACTACCTTGTTAATTCTTAATGTCATCTATTGCTAAGTATACCAATTTCATGTCTATAGGCATCTCACAAAGATGTAGCTCCTCTACACAAAGATGGGAGTGGTCCACCAAGTACTTCACTAAAAACTTCTACTTGAGTGATGTGACTCTCCCTCACTTGCCACAAAAATGATTATCCCACCAGAAGAATGGTCAGCAGTGATGCCATTCATGGATAAGTTATGCCCCCAAAGATGCACATTCATTTTATTTAAATTCAAGTTCAATTCATTTCAATTAGTTTGTCTTTATTTGCACTTGAATGCATGAATGGTGATAGGAAATTTGGCTATTCTTTTTCTTTCTTTAGGGAGTGCAAGATGCTGGCTCTAGGGTTCATCTCCCAACACAAATGCAATTGCACGTGATCGCTTCAGCACAGCTTGCTCTACACGGTTCTTTGCTTTGGCGGCTAACATGGCAAGTAATGGCGCCATAGAATTGCTTGGTGAGAGATTTACTCTTAATCAAGAAAAAGTAGGTGAATCATCAACACCAGATTTCATGTCGTTCTTCTTCTAATCAGCTCCCCACTTGCAATTCTTACCAAATTTTGATGGGGAGTAGTGGTTGTGGCTGAATTCATTGTTGTAGATTGGCTTGGTGTAAACTGCAAGGCATCCCATAATTCAAATGATTCCATTGTTGCTGTTGCGGCTCTTGACGTCAGTATCTCTTGATCGAGAGCTTCATTGTTTGAGGGAGGAAATTCCTCGGTCCATCTTAGTGCTCCCACGGGAGAGACTTGTAGAAAATTCGAGACTCCATATTCTTGTCATAGACGTTCCTCTCACCTTCGGATTCCTTCAAGGAGATTTGATTGTACTCGTTCTTGCTGTGTAGCCATGGTCCTTGTTGCTTCCCGATCCATATTTGTTGTTGCTACCAATTTGACGGTTTCGCTCAATCCTAGATTGCTGAGCTGGCGTGATCTCTCAGGATCCTCTCCGGGTTTCTTGCGCGTCATTGGAGTAGGCTATTTCTATCATCTCCACGATGTCGATCTCTAGTTCTGTTGGTGATGAAGGTTCTTTCTCAATTCTTATAGCTATCTATATTCCCTCTAATCTCTCGTACCAATGACCTCGCTGGTGGAGTACCTCAAGCTCGCTCATTGCCAGACCTCAAGTTTCTCCTCTCACCAAATGAACCAAATATCAAAGGAGCACAACGCAAAACACCCCGAGAGAGCAATGGTGGTGTCACCTCTGCGAGGTGGGCATTGAGATGCTATAGCATGTCATCTACTAGTGTTCAGCATATAATATATGGTTCCCCATGGTAGATATCCACACTCGAGACCTCCCAAAAGGCTGACTGACGTTTGTTTGCTCCATCCCATGTTTCTATTTTAAGCTCTTGCTGCTATATCGCAATCTCTCTAAAGCACCCCGCTTTTGGACCAACCACCGCTCTCTCTCTCCAACCACCGGACTCTCTCTCACTCTAACCACCGGACTCCCTTTCTCTCTCTCTAAAAACTCATGTACTGCGCCACTTTTGGACCAACCACCGCTCTCTCTCCAACCACCGGACTCCCTTTCTCTCTCTCTAAAAACTCACTTTTAAAAAGCTTGCATTTCTAAAACGTGCAGAACGCCACTTTCAAAAAGCTTGCATTTCTAAAACGTGCAGAACTACCATGGCCGTATATAAGCAGGGTAGCGGATTCAAAACCGAGGCATCCGTGTAAGCATTCTCTTTTCTAAGAATAAAATATGGAAGATGTTCTAGTTTCCAGAATTTTGGGTGTCACCCATTTCGAGCTCCCATTGCTTCCCAACAACATTGCATTTTATTGCCACCCGGAATTCCAATCAATCAGCCTCCAAATCGACGAGTGGTTCCTTGACAAGATGAGAATCGCCGACGAGACTTCCAAGAAGAAGGTGCTGGAGTCCAGGATCGGTTTGTACGCCTGTATGATGCATCCCCATGCTGAGAGAGAGAAGATTGTGCTGGCCGGGAAACATCTCTGGGCCGTCTTCCTCCTTGACGATTTGCTGGAATCCAGCGGCACACAAGAGATGCCGAAGCTCAACGCCACCATTTCCGACCTTGCCAGTGGAAATTCCAACGAGGATGTTACAAATCCTGTGTTGGTTCTCTACCGAGAAGTTATGGAAGAGATCCGGGCTGGTATGGAGCCACCATTGCTGGATCGCTACGTGGAGTGCCTGGGAGCTTCACTGGAAGCCGTGAAGGATCAAGTTCACCACCGAGCCGAGAAAAGTATCCCTGGAGTGGAAGCTTACAAGCTTGCCCGCCGTGCCACTGGATTCATGGAAGCTGTCGGCGGTATCATGACCGAGTTCTGTATGGGAATCCGCCTCAACGAAAGTCAAATCCAGTCTCCAGTCTTTCGAGAGCTCCTCAATTCTGTGTCTGATCACGTTGTTCTTGTCAATGATCTCTTGTCCTTCCGGAAAGAGTTCTATGAAGGTGCTTGTCACCACAACTGGATCTCAGTTCTCCTGCAGCACAGCCCCAGCGGGACGAGGTTCCAGGATGTCATTGATCAGCTCTGCGAGATGATCCAAGAAGAAGAGCTCTCAATCCTGGCATTGCAGAGGAAGATTTCCAGTAAAGAAAATAGCGACTCGGAGCTGATGAAGTTCGCAAGGGAGTTCCCAATGGTTGCTTCCGGGAGCCTAGTGTGGTCGTATGTCACTGGCCGCTACCATGGCTATGGTAATCCGCTGCTGACTGGGGAGATTTTCAGCGGAACTTGGCTGCTCCATCCCATGGCCACCGTCGTCTTGCCAAAGTCTACAGTCTTTTCATTAAACCATTTGGTATATTCTCATGTTTGATGAAATAAAAGTTAAAGAATCTTGTTACCGCACTGCTACGTTGCGAAGCTCCTGTCACCCGCATCACCCAGACCAGGAACTATATAACCTTTGTCATTCAGCTCGGGATCGATAATGCCAGCGTAAACTTTGAGCCTACATTTCCCGAAGGCATGAGAGTTCCAATGAGTAACAGAAACTTACCCAGGAAACTTTTCGCTCAATTTCTTCAAAGCTGGAGGAGCGGCAACAGCGGCAACCTTTTGAAGTTCGAAGTGAGAAACAAAAGCGCGAAGGAAGAAAAAAAACAGGCTTACCACTCGCATAAGTCTATGATCGATTCCCCGTTTGATGAGCTCCTCGATGGCAGCAATCATCGTTCCACCTTACAAGGAAAGCCTGTGAATATTTTCTTCATACGAACATGCCATACCTGTTGCTAGCATAGGATCTGCCACAAGAACGCGAGCATTCTCCGGGAGCTTTTCCGGGAGTCTGCTTCATGCTATCAAAGATCGCTCGGTGCATCCAAAAATTTTAAGCTTACTTGTTCAAGTACAGCGTTGGTTGTAGCGTCTCTTCGTCTCTAACGAATCCTGACACCAGAAGATTAAGAAAAGGCTCATCTGAAAAGCGATAAAACTTTCACCTAAGTGATAAGTTTGGGTAGCAGGGAGTACCGAAGCTACGTGCTCCACGAGTACAAGTCCTGCTCGCAAAATCGGCACAACCTAGACGAAGCATGTAAGCAAATCCGGGAATTTCATACTTATCATACCTTTATAGGTTCTCTTGGATCGACAAATTCGACATCAGCTACACCACAGGGAGTTTGCACTTGGCCAGTCATGGTAACCTTTCTAACAAGCATTAGAACTTTATCACAGACAAATGATCCAAGACAACAATTCACCAGCCAGTCCCGAGAAGCTTCATATATGAGAATCCTCCCGAGCTCCGCCATCGCGCTCTCTGCGAAGAGAACAAGACTTTGAGAAACGAAAATGAAAATGGAGATAGAAAGGAGTACTGAAAACTGGGGGTGGCGTTGATTCGTTCCGAAGAACAGCCACCCAGTGCTTCACCAGAGGATGAGCGGGAACATAAATCTGCGATCCACACCACCTTAAAAGACTATTCCACAAAATCAAAGGAAAGCAAGGAAAAAAGTTTTTTTTTCACCATCAAGCAATGCAAGGAGAGAGTACCAGCATTTGTTCAGTGCTTGGCGACTTTCCGGCCACGGAAGTAGCACGCAAAGCCCTGTCCCTCGCTTGTGATTTCCACTTGCTTGGAAAACAAGCCTGGCTTCTCAAGCAGCAGGCAGACATCCTCTACACAAAGACGATTCGACACTCAAATTCTTTCCTCCAGCATTTGGATTTGGACGCAAAGAAAAGGAAAAGCACAGCCGCAAAAGATTTACCTGCTGGGGGAGCTGTGACTGTGGGAGCGCCGCGCGCATTGCCATGAGATCCATAGCCCCCGCGCTCCCTTGCCTTGCCCTAGGCGGCAAAAGCCTCTGCTAGGGCTCTTCGCTAATCTTGAAATCCGGATATTCGATGTAGAGGAGAATATCCTACTGTTTAAAATTCTGGCGGGTAATTTAAAATTCTTCCTCTGTTTTTGAGAGCTGTCTAGCACGTCCAAAATTCGAGCACGCCAAAAGCAATCATAGTCGCGAGATTCTTCATAACTTGGATCGCCCAAATTTCGCTGTGGATCAAAAGTAATCCCTAGGTTGAATTGATCTAGAGCAGCGGTGGGCCTGGTAGTGATGGGAATGGAATTTGTCTCCTACCACTTATCATGCAAGAAAAAAAAAAAAAAAAAAGAGAGGGAAGAAGAAAGTAAAGCTTTTTAGGTGCAGTGGAAGTGGAGACTTGCTTGAGCCTTGTTCCTCCATGAAATCTTTTCTGAAATCTTTTCATAGCTTTCTCTCCCCCAAGTTGTTTTGCTGACGAGGACCTTGTAGCTAATGGACACATTGTCGGAGGACCCTAAAATCGCGACGAAATTTTTCACTTCTTTTCGTTCAAGTTGCAGCCTTTCAAAGATCATTTAGACGCTTGGACGATCGAATCAGCGGATCGCGTGTGGCTGCTTCTCACAATCACCGACGCTTGCTCCAATATTTCTAGATGCTTGTCTTGCGCTGGAACAGTGAAAGCTATATAACTTGAAGAACAATTTCAATTTACCATGCCCAGACATGCGGACAAACTAGAAGATTCCGTGAAAGGATATGTATAGAATAATTAAAAAATCAAAAGACCTTGCCATGAGATACTAATCAAAGGTGGTGGACTAATGATATATTTAGCGCTAACTCTAACTTAAAACACCTATTTTACAAGATGGGTCAATAGAACAATGTGAGGCAGCTAACGCGCCAACAAAATTCCTGAAAAAGGTAAATCTCCCCTCTGGTGACGTGGACACTGGCGGCAGAGCTGGCAGTGCTGACATGTTTTACCGTACGCCAAGCTAGCGCATTTTCTACACTGTGGGTAACTATTAAGGGTAAATAAAAGCTGGGCGAGTTTAGATAAGGCGCTATTCTTAGGGGCTTCACATGTTCTTGGCCATGGCCGCGCCCGGCTGCGTTGAAAATTTGTGGGTCTCGAGCTGTGGATGCTTCGCGGAGTGCCTGATTTCCCTCCCCAGTCTAATCGCCGCTCATCGTCTCATCATAGGATAGGGGAAGAAGCGCTAGATCGAAGATAACTCCACTTACGATTAGCTAGATCGTCGCGCGAATCGATCGAAGGAGTTTGATTCATGGCCAAGACGGAGTCATCGCTCAAGCACTCGAATCTGAGCTACATGCTGCGCGACCACAAGAAGAAGATGCTGTCCTCGCGGGAGAAGATGTTCCTGGGCTGCGATGCCGAGGCCAATGCCGGCGCGGAGGTGGATTTGAGCGAGCTGGAGGAGCACGACATCTGGGCCGCCATGGAGAACCATCTCAGCGATCTCGATCTCCACCACCACCAGGAGGATCATCGCGAAGATCTGGAGGAGAACTATCATCGAGGAGGCTATGGATTGGCGTCGTCGCTGAGCAGCAAAGCCACCCCGCAGAACATCGTCTCCGCCACCGAATTCCACGGGCGGAGCTCCGGGAAGTCGCTGCTCCGCCAGCAATCGGCGCCCATGAACGTCCCCGACTGGTCCAAGATCTTGGGAAGCAGCGCCACCAAATCCTCGGCCCGGCAGAGCGTTTTCCGCGAGGACGACGGATCCGACGACTCGGAGGACGAGTGGTCGCGGGAGGATCATCTTCCCCGGCGGCTGCCACCGCACGAGGTCGTGGCGCGGGATTACGCGCGCAGCCATAGCGTGGCCTTCTCGGTTTGCGAAGGCGCGGGTCACACTCTCAAGGGGAGGGATTTGAGCAGAGTTCGCAATGCTGTTCTCAAGCAAACGGGCTTCCTGTGAAGAACATACACACACGTCCAGTTCTCTGAGGATAGCAATGGTTCATGTGATAGATCGATTTGGAGAGATCGCGTGTCAAAGGTTTGTGGGTTCCTTGGAAGTTCCTCTCTTGGTCTTTCGTTTTTTTCCTTTCTGGGTCCTTTCGATCGATCGATCCATAGCTTCTCCTATCTGTGATTTGGCCTGGCCTAGTCTTCTTCTAAGTGTACATACTATGTGGAGGTAACTTGCTAGAACTTTTATGGCTTTGCGGAAGAACTTTTCATCGCTGTTTCTCCCATTTGCGTGTGAAACCGAAGAAGAAGTTTGTGATTTGTATAAAACAATCTCTTTCTTGAGCTTCACTGACCAGTACGGACAGAGACCCTGTGCTGTACGGCAGCTCCAAAAGCTGGAGGAAATAACTGACTATGGATCGCGCTGTTGCTTTGTGAGTGGCGAGTGGCAATTTACAACATGAATACATCCACAGAGGAAAAAGGCCTTTTGTAAGCAATAATTTAAATATTTTTAAACTACTGTTATTTGTATTGTTTGGGTGTTTCTCTGTTTTTAATTTTCTCCCGAATTTTTCAATTGGTCGCCAGTCTCAGGAAATCAGAAGAAAATGGGCCATGTGTTCCTTGCATGATGTCGAGAGGCTCTTTTGTTTGTTTGGGAGGAGGCCGAGATTCCTTACATGAATTCTAGTGATTAGTTCTTTTATCCTATGCGATGATCAGGGGAATTTTAGCCATTTGATCTTTGTGGGCCTGCAGAAAAGCATGCAAATCCAAACTATACGAAACATTGCTCTACTAATAAGTAAATGGGATTTTATTGATTGAGAAGGACCCGCATGTGAAATGTGGGCCAAGACAATCAATCATTACAATTAGGATAAGAGAAAACTATGCCACCTTTTTCTATTTTCACTCAAAAACCAGGATCTATTGACCATAGTGATCAACTGATATGTAATGGAGATTTTGTGACGACAAAAAACTCACACCCATTTTATTGCTATCAACGATTTGCCACAGTCTGTTGTTTCTGTTTCAAGTCAAATCCTTTGATTTGCTCGCTGGCGTCAGCAGATATTCTTGTAGACTCTTTGGTTGGTTGGTGCTGGGAATCGAACCCCTCGCGGAGAATTAGGGCTTTTCTAGGGTTTTGGTTTTTCGGGTCGCCATGGTGAAGAAGAGCAAGAGTATGTATCGTAGCTAGAGCCGAGGTCTGTGATCTAATCGTTTCTTCTTTCCCCAGAGAGCAAGAGCAAGCGCGTCCCATTGCGCAAGAAGTACAAGATTATCAAGAAGGTGAAGGAGCACCACAAGAAGAAGGCCAAGGAAGCGAAGAAGCAAATTGGGAAGAAGAAGCCGAAGGTCGAAAAGGATCCAGGGATTCCAAATGCGTGGCCTTTCAAGGAGCAAGAGCTCAAGGCGCTCGAGGAGAGGCGTGCCAGAGTTCTTAAGGAGCTAGAAGAGAAGAAACTAGCTAAGAAATTACGTGCCAAAGAGCGAGTAAGTTTCTTTCTTTTCTCGTTCTGTGGATTCATTCGGTGCGTGAATGTCTTCTTCTTTTTCAGGCAGAACTTCGGAAGCGTGGTGTTCCCGAAAAAAATGAGCTCGATGATCTTGTACACGATACCGAAACTAGGACAACGCAGTTTGAGAGAGCCTCACGGAATAAGACTTCTGGTTCTTCTTCTCAAGGTATTTTTTGAAGTTTTTCTGCTAGCTAGTTTGGCTTAAAGAGGAACTTTGAGCGCAGATGGATCCAAAAGAGCTTTTTACAAGGAGCTCTTGAAGGTGATCGAGGCGTCTGATGTTATCATCGAGGTTCTCGACGCTCGGGATCCTCTGGGAACACGTTGCCCCGACATGGAACGCCTGGTTTTCAAGTCGCAAACATCCAAGCGTCTAGTTCTCCTGCTCAACAAGATAGGTTCGTAAAAACGAGTGTGTTTATCGCTGTTGTGATAAAAGTTTTCCCGGCAGATTTGGTTCCAAAAGAGATTGCCGAGAAGTGGCTCAAGTACTTGAGAGAAGAGCTGCCGACGGTGGCTTTCAAGTGCAACACGCAAATGCAAAGAAGCAATCTAAGTCGCAAGAAGTCGAAGTCGAAAGTCATTCTGGAGACAAGTAGTGACTGCCTGGGAGCCGATACGCTCTTACAACTCTTGAAAAACTATTCCAGAAGCGACGAGGTTAGCTATTGATTTGGCTCTTCTTCCTTCTGACCTTTGTTCTTCGTACGCCAGCTAAAAAGAGCCATCACAGTCGGGATCGTCGGCTTGCCAAACGTTGGGAAGAGCAGCCTCATCAACAGCTTAAAGAGATCACGGGCAGTAAGTGCCGGAGGAACGCCTGGATTGACAAGGACGATGCAAGAAGTGCAGCTAGACAAGCATGTCAAGCTACTCGACTGCCCCGGAGTTGTCTTAGCAAGCGCAACTGACTCCAAACCTCTCATGGACTTGCGAAACTGTACGAGAATCGAGAAGCTTGCAGACCCTGTGGCACCGGGTAAGTCGTGATTTTGACTGCGTTTTTGTAATGTTCCTGAGTTATTTCTTTGCTCTTGCCTTTACAGTAAAGGAGATAGTGAGCAAGTGTGGTCATGAGAAACTGATGACCTTCTACAAAATACCTTCATTCAACACGGTGGACGAGTTTTTGCAGCTCGTGGCCACGATTCGTGGCAAGTTTAAGAAAGGTGGTGTTGTGGACACTGAGACAGCGGCCCGGATAGTCCTTTACGAATGGAATGAAGGTAAGCAACGATCGAGAGAGAGAAGGGCTTCTTTCGCAAGATTGCTGACAGGGGAAAATACCTGTTCTTGCTTTGCAGGGAAAATCTCGCATTACACTGTGCCTCCCGTGAGAGAACCAGCAGGGCCTTCCGAATCAGCCATCGTGACGAGCTGGGGAAAGGAATTTAACGTGGACGAGGTTTTCAAAAGAGAACAGTCCACTGTCATTGCGGGTCTTCCATGTTTAAGCGATGCGGATCATACGGAACTTCCAGCAGGCGCTCCAATGTCTATGGACGTTACAATGATGGAGGTAAGAAAGTCATTTTTTTCCTCGGGATTCCTTTGGATTGAGCCACATCCTTCTTTGTAGAACTCCGACGACGAAGATGAGAAGATTAATGAAGAAGGCGATAGAGTTGCGGAGTCCCAAGCGATGGATACGGCTGAGCTCCCGGCGAGAAAAGAGAAACAAGCCGTTCAGACTGAGAAGCTGTATGACGAGGAAGGCATTTTCAATCCTCGTCTGGCCAAGGCAGAGAAGAGGCGACGGAAAAAGTCGACGAAAGAGTCTGCGGCGATGGAGGGGACTTACGATTTCGACGTGGACTACGTTGACAGTGCTCCCCTCAAGAAGAAACAGCAGAAGAATCAGAGCAAGTCCAAGCAGAAAACCAGAGCAAGATCAAGCGATATGGAGATCTAAACGAGAAACGTTTGGAAATTTGTTATCTCCTGGATTGCATATCCTCCTGGGATCCTCAAGTTCGTAGAATAGAGTTCAAAAAGGTTTTGGAGTTAGCCTTTTTTGATAGATTATAAGGGATTACCCTCAATGTTGAGGGTTCGTACATACCACGTCAATGACCCTAGAAATGTTAAGTTTTTAGACAAGGATGAATTAAATGTCTGGTTGGAACTCTTACTTGTGGAGATGTTATGAAATTCCAAATTCGTGTGGATAAATGTACTAAGAGGATTGTTGAGGCATGTTTTAAGACTTTTGATTGTGGATCTGCTATTGCATCATATTCCTATGGTAAGTTTATAATTATATGTTTTTCTTAACTTTTTTTTTCTTTTAGCAACTGATTGAATAAAAGGTAAAATTGTGAATGAAATCATGAAATTTGTTAATAAGAAATTAAATATGTAATTTTAAATATCACTTCTAATATTAACTTTTTCAAACAATTGTAAAACACCTTTATTTACTGCTACATTGCAGCTAAGGATGGCATAAAATTTACTCTATTAGATTATTTGCCTAAGCAAAACAAAAAACTTACAAAGAGTTTCATGAGCTGTATAATTTTGATGCTTTTTCTCTCTTTTGTAATTGGAATCACTTACACCATTATAATATTTTTCAATTCTCATTGTAAGGTTTATAAATACATATACATATATACATTACCTTGCCTAGGTAATACATTAATTATAATACTAAAGCATATAAACCATCCATTTGAAACTAAATCTAATCCATCCATTTTTGTATATAAACAGGGATCTAAACCCCAGTTAATATATCTATTTTTATATCCGAAACATTCACATTGATGGAGATAAAAAGCATTACAATTTAAAAGGCAAAGTTTTTTAGCAATGCTTTGCTTTAGTGTTCGGGATCATATTTTTTGTTTTTATTTCTTCATTCTCTTTTAAATATAAATTTGTATTAGTTTTTTGCAAGATTTAGAACTCTAGCTATCTCTACTCTTTTTTCTGATCTTTATTATATTCTCTTCTCTTACCATGCCACACCATCATTGATTAAGGAGTATGTTATTTAAGGTTGTTAATGTTGCTTCATTGAATCGAACTTTTAGTGCTATGAAGTGTGACTATGTTAGTGTTTCATCCATCCTTAATCTGTTACCGTCTCTAACTTCTATAGGACATGATTACACAGCTTGTCCTGTTCTTGGTGCTCTACTGTCTTTCGTTAATATAGAGCATGATTATGACATTGATTGGCGAGCTATGGATAATACAGTCTAGTTCTTAGAGAATATTCAAAGATTGAGTTTATGGAAAGACAATGTGTATGAGTGGATTCTAGATCGTTTTAATGAGTTTAATTATTATAAAGATAGCTTTGGAGATGAAGTGGAGATTTCATGGAGTAAGTGTCAGTCTTTCAATCTACCATTTGATCCTTTCTTTTTACCTTTTACTCTTTCCCATTTTTTTTTTTATTTCTTAGCTTAACCCACCTTCTTATGTTTTTAGTATTTTTTCCTTATTTATAGTGTTTTCTTCTCTTGGCACATCAATTATTTGTGACTCTTATGATTTTCATTCTTAATCCAGTGTTGAGTTGAATGTTTTATGTCTTCTTTATACTAATTTAGATATTATGTATGTGCATGAAGTTGAAAATCTTGTTCTTGTTTCATTAGCAAAGCTTTTGATCAATTCTGGTGTTGAGTATTCTTTTGTTCCAAAGGTTAAATCACTTTGGTCAGAGTTTCAAGTTAAATGCATATCCCTAATTATGAGTTCTAATAATAGTCTTTATTTTGCTAAGAAGTTTATGTGTTCTCTTGAGAGTGTGGATATTTCTATTAATTTTCCCATCTTAAGTGTTGAGTTATGTATTAAGGAGGTTGAATAGTATGAATCTTTTATTTATATTGTGGTGGCCGAAGTATTTTATAATAAGAAGTCCTTTATTTTCCAAGTTTTGAGTATATATCCTTTTGATTTCCTCATTTTTGCATTACCAACTGCTATAATTCCTTTTTTTATGTTTATTTATCCACTTTTTCTTCTTCCCCAATAGTTTTTCATCAATTTTTCTCATTTTTTCCTTTTTTTTTGACATTTCAAACTTTTTTTTCTTCGAAAGAAAGGGTAGAAGGGATGGATGGAAGTTTAGCCCCAATGATGGAGTAAGAATGAGTGAATATGGTAATGGAGCGAGGATGAACAATATGAATTATGGAGTGAAGATGAGTATAATGAATCCAAACAGAACATTTAACCCTAATGTAGTGAGGCTGAATAGATGTGATAATAGAGTGAGGCCAAACATAAATAGTGGAGTGAGGATGAGTGCAACGAGTCCAAATAGAGCTAGTGCTTCAAAGAAAAAATTCCTTCGAAGAGGGGGTAAAGAGGATGTGGAGGACAAATGAAGTGAGTTCAATTTCTTATATATAATTCTAAATAAAGATGAAGAAGTGGGTTTTATTTATGCTCATGAGTCCAAGTTAATAGTCATTTTGAAGGATCCTCAATAAATAGACTTGGAGACAGGATATATTATTTACTACAATGGTGCTTTATGGATTGTAATGGCTCTCAAAATCCTTTATTTTGGTTCAAAGTTATGGTTTTGATGTTAGTTTGAACGTTTGGCAATTACACATAAAGTTGCAATTGGTTCATTGGGACTCCGTAATCGATTAATACTTATGTCATGGCTCTGGGTTTTCTTTCAGTCATGGTTATTAACAACATTATTAGTGGTTTTGTAGGAGTTTCATGTTCTTATGATAGTTTAGAATTGTCCAACAAAAACTCTAAATGTTTCACAAGATTTATTGTCATCACTTTTTCATCTTCTAGAGAGGAGGATGGTGTAAGATTTGTAAATACATGTATTAGGTAATACATTAATTATAGTACTAAAATATACAGACCATCCATTTGGGATTGAATTTAATCCATCTATTTTTGTATATAAGTAGTGGTTTAAACCTTAATTAATATATCCCGAGTAGTTTATATAAGAGAAAAGATTTTTTAAACTTTCTTGGTATGATATTATAGAATATTAGCACAAAGATGAGATATTGCTTAGAGATAAGATATATTATTTGCTACAATGATGCTTTATGGATTGCAATGGCTCTAGAAATCCCTTGTTTTAGTTTAAAGTTATGACTTCAATATTGGTTTGAGCATTTAGCAGTTGCACATGGAGTTACAATTGATTCATTAGGATTCTGTAGTTGACTAATATTTATGTTGTGGCTCTGGGTTTTATTTTAGTCATGGTTATTAACAACTTTGTTAGTGGTTTTATGGGAATTCAGGTTCTTATGATAATTTATAATCGTCCAACAAAAGCTCCAAATGTTCCACCTGATTTATTATCATTATTTTTTCATCTTTTGGAAGGGAGGATGGTGTAAAGTTTGTAAATACATGTATATATATACATGTGTTAATACATTATTTATATAAACCATTTATTTGAGACTAAATCTGATCCATCCATTCTTATATATAAACAAGGGTCTAAACCCCAATTAATATACTTATTCTTATATCCCAAACAGTTTATATAAGAGAAAAGATTTCTTACATCTTCTTAGTATGATATTATAGAATATCGGCACAAAGATGAGACCTTGCTTGCAAAAGTAAAAAGGTGGTCCATGGTTTCCTGTGCAAGGCTCAAGGAGCTCACCACCCTCGACCAAAACTTTGGTGTGAGAATGCGAATATCCAACTTCTTTATGAATCGAGTGGAGAACTGAGTAAAGTATACGGCTTCTGCCACAGACCCCAAGATCATCCAAGAGCTTGGCATCAGACAAAGCTATGGAGTTGTGGACACTTACCAGCACATAGCGCCAGTTATTGACATGGAAGAGTTTATGTTCCAGCTGACAAGCTTTCTCTCCAAGCACCCAATGTGCAGCCTTGACACAACCTATGGAAGTATTGACCAGGATTTGCTCGAAGTGGAGGACACTCTTCGCAAGGCTTACAAGGTCGATGCTATTGTGAATTGCCTGGGCTTGGGATTTTGCCAAGGACGAGCAGGGGAGCTCTTCTTAACGATGGAACCAGGTTCCCAGTTTTGGATCAGTGCTTGTGTGTCTCCCTCCATAGGCGAGAGGCCGCTGAAGACAGAAACGAGAAAACACTGGTTGTGGGAGGAATAGCCAAGGAGGGCGAAGTCAATAACATTGAAAAGGTATCAGTGGTACTTGTTTGCTGGATCGTTTTTAGCTAGAAATCTTTGCAGGATTATGAACCAGTGAAGAAAATGTTGGCCGGAGTTTGAGCTTCTATCCACCTCTGAGGAACACTGACATGTCCGACTACTCTCTCAGGACTGAGGCAGGCTCGCATAGAAAACATCAGGCTTGGAAGAGAGACAAGGCTGACAAAAGATGGCAATCCTTCGGCTATAGTCCATACCTATGGTCATGGTGGTGGTAAATGTTTCGTTTTTTTCGTCTTCTTTATTAACCTTGCTTTGATTTTCCAGGATTTGCTCCATTTGGTTGCGCAGAGAACCTAGTAGCCATCGCTAAGAGCATTCTCTAGCAACAAAAGATCTTGACTAATTATAATGGTAAACGAGAATTTATTGAGACTTTAGCCCTTAATCTGCTTATGGGATGACTTCTCTTTCATCTCGTCCTTTTGATATGGAACTCGATGTACATTATCAGCCAACCTCCTGGCCTTATGGACTAATCAATGGCATAGTAATCGATGGTGATATTTTTACTAAAGTTGTTTTCCAGCCTCTTATTCTCAAATCTCAACTTCAAATAATCTTCCTGCATAAAGCTTTTGTACTTTGGGTGACCACTCGCAAATTCTGGAATAGGAGCGATTCGAGTTTTGCCTTCGGGGAGATAGCTGTATACAAATGAGAAACGTTGAGCCTTGTTCGCTACTACACGATGAACGGCACCTTTGTAAAGTCCGTTGGTCCACACCTTTTGGGTTGAAAACAATGTGAGAAAAATATTTAAACAAATACCTCCTGATCACTTACTTGTAAGATGTCTCCAAGGTTTATAATCAGTGAATTTTCTTCTGGCACTACAAGGTGCCAAGTACCATCTTTGAGGACCTGGTAACCAGGAACACGATTAAGCTGGGACACCATGGTGAAGATGGTACCATCTTGATGAGGGGCGAGAACTTGGCCCTGATAGTCGGAGCAAGCTGGATAGTGGAGAAAATTGTAGTAATCTGCATTCTTGTCATAGCACTTGCGGAGAGTTTCGCCAGGAGCTCCCAAGCTTTGGGACAAAATGGTCATCAAGTTGTGGCCCAGGTTTTGCATTTGTTTTGACAATTCCACGGCATCTGGCCTGTGATTCACTAGCAAGCTATTTAGGAATCTCTAAACTTTTGTGAAAGTACCTGAAGCTCGATATTAAATCTGGCCACAAGGTGGACTTATCTTCTGCAGCAATCATGAAATGCTCCTTTCGATCTAGAGGTCCTCCTTTAGCACCACTTTGGTGCACGAAACCAACTGAATTGTTGGCGGTAGTAAATTTGCATTTGTATTCCAGAGGGAGCTCAAAGAAGCTGTGAGCATTTTGGAGTGCCTTGCTCAAGATGTGAGAATCCAAACCATGGTTAACCAATTGAAATAGACCAAATTCCTTACACGCTTTGTTGATCTTTTCCAACGATTCTAGGCGTTTCCTAGCAATTCCTGGGTCTTCCATAAATAATGCAAAGTCCACCACTGGAATGCCCTCCATTTGATTACAACTGAGAATGTATTGGGGTGGAGCTTCTTAAGTACCAATTCTTTGTTCTCGGCTAAAGATTCTTGCCATGAAACACGACGGGAAACATGCCGGCTGAAGACGACTTCAGAAAGGTATATATAATATAAATCCTTCTTCCTAAAGATTTGTGGTATGAAACACGACAAGTGTAATACTAACTTATGTGTTCGAACGCGACATATTATCCAGGTTCATATGATCAGACATTAGCTGGCTGATGCTTCTAGCTTTGCCATGAGCGAGTAAGTGGATGTTTGTGTAACATCCAGCTTGAGCAACGCAGCATACGCAATCCTCCCAATCACCACATTGTTCCACTTCTCACACGCCGCCAGCAACGTCGTCCAAGTCACAACGCTGGGATCGTACGGCATCGTCTCCACAAGCCTGAGTGCCTCCTCGAGACGATTCGCGCGACCCAGCATGTCGACGAGGCAGTGATGGTGCTCGATCCCGGGCACCACCCCGTACACTTGGATCATCGCCCGGAACCATCTCTTCCCGGCGTCCACCATGCCCGCCCGGCTGCACGCCGCCAGCAGCGAGAGAAAGGTGACGCCGTTTGCATGGACGCCTTCACGTAGCATGGCGTGGAAAACCTCAAGAGCCCGGGTGGTGTTGCCTTGGACCGAGTGCACGGAGACGAGGGCGCTCCAGATCACGGGGTCCGACCCCGTCTCGATCGACTCGAAGACCCGCTCGGCGTTTCCGGAGGATCCACACTTCCCGTACAGGTCCACCAGGCAGCTCGCCACCAGCAAGTCCGTCTCGATCGCCCCGCGGCAAATCTCGGCGTGGATGCTCCTGCCAGTCCCGAGGCAAGCTAAGTTTCCACCGGCCATGAGCGCTGCCGCGAAAGTCCGAGCGTTTGGAGCTACCATGGAGTTGTGCTTCATCCAAGAGAAGATCTCCAGGCCGAGGACACTCTCGCCGTTTTCCACGTAGCTGAGGATGAGAGCCGTCCACGAGACAACGTCGTGAAACTCCATCATATCAAACACTTTGCGAGCGTCCAAAACGCTGCCAGACTTCCCGTAAGCGTTGATCAGGGCACTCTCCACGAAAACATCCCAAGATTCGGACACAAGGGCTTGCGAGTGGATCTTTATCACCTTCTCCAAGCAGCGCGCTTTCACGAGCTGGGATCCATCCCCGGATCGCTGTGATTCTTCTCTCACCGCCAAACCAGCACAGGCTTGCAACGCAGCCACGAAAGTCCGAGCAGTCGGCTCGCAGTGTTGGCGCTGGATCATGCTCGAGAAGAGCTCGAGAGCGAGCTGGTCTTGTCCGTTATCGGCATAGCCGAGGATCATCGTGTTCCACGATACAGCGTCGCGACCATCCAGCATCCGATCAAAGACAGCCCGAGCGCTCTCCAGGCTCCCACACTTGACGTAGAGATCGATCAAAGTGTTGGCAACGAAAGTGTCCGAGTCACAGTGGCTTTGAGCTGCCAGAGCGTGGATCCTCGTCCCGAGTTCCAGGCAGCAAGCGCGAGTAGCATTGCTTTGCGTCGAAACGGCCAAGTTGGAGGCCGCCACTAGCACCGAGCTGAAGGTCCGAGCACTGGGAACGCATCCTTCGAATCGCATTTGCTCAAAGAGTTCGATGGCGGTCTCGTCCTGGTCGTTGCCGGCATAGCCGAGGATCAAAGTGCTCCAGGACACAGCGTCGTGATCCAGCATCCTGTCAAAGACTCTCCTGGCGTCCATCAAGCTTCCACATTTGGAGTACATGTCGACGAGTGTGTTTGCCACGAAAGTCTCCGACTCGTAGCTCCTCTTCAAGATCTCCAAGTGAAGAGCCATTCCCTTCCTCAAGCTCTCCACCTTGACGAGCTTTCCATCGATTTGCTGTCCAATTTCTTTCGCTGCCAAGCTCGAGCAAGCGACGAGCGCAGCGACGTAAGTTCTGGCATTTGGTTGACACTGCTGACACTCCATCATTTGCTGGAACAATCCAAGTGCTAGCTCGCCAAAACCATTCTCAGCGTATCCCAGGATCAAACACGTCCAAGTCACCACGTCCCTCTGGAGCATTCGATCGAAAACTTTGCGAGCTTCTGCAAGGTCTCCACACTTGATGTATAAATTCACTAGCGAGCTCGCCAAGAACATGTCCGACACGCAGCCATCGTCCAGAGCTCGAGAGTGAATCGCCATCCCTCTTTGCAGGACAGCAACTCTTCTGTCGACTTTCTTCTCTTTCTCGGCCAAGCTCGTGCAGGCCACGAGAGCAGCAACGTAAGTCCGAGCATTCGGAGCGCATGCATCCAACTCCATAGTCGAGAAGAGTCCCAAAGCCAGTTCTTCCTCGCGGTTCTCCGCGTAACCGCATATCAAAGACGTCCAAGAAACCACGTCTCGAGCAGGCATGGTGTCGAACACCTTGCGAGCATCCCGCAAGCTTCCACACTTGGAATACATATCGATCAATGCATTTCCAACGTAGATATCCAAGAGCAACCCGGCAGCCAGAGCTTGAGAGTGAAAAACCATACCTTTCTCGAGAAACTTGATCATGACAGCCTTTCGTCCATGGCGGGCCTCTTCTTGCTCCTCTTCATCCCCTCTCTCTTTCTTCAAACCCGTCGAGCTCAAGCTGGCACAGGCCTTCAATCCAGCCACGAAAGTTCGAGCATTGGGTTTCAGTCCCTCTTGCCGGATCCTTGAGATGGACTCGAGAGCTAGCGTTTCATGCGAGTTCAGCGCAAATGCCAGCACGAGAGCGTTCCAGGAGACGATGGTGCGCTCCGGCATTGCCTCAAACACTGCCATGGCATCCACCAGGCCGCCACATTTGGCATACAAGTTGATCAACGAGTTGGCGACGAAGACGCTGGAGCAGCAGCCATCACTGCCGCCGAGGACGTCGGAATGGATCCTCTTTCCGGCGTTGAGCTCTCTGATTGAGCCGCTACTGCAAGCCTTGATCGCCGCCATTAGAACCTCCAGAGATGCTTCTTCTTCTTCCTCGCGATAGAGGCGAACCAACGTACCCATGAGGTCTCGCCAGCGCGATTTGCGATGGATGTGGCATCGCATTCTTGGCGGCCACAAGTGCCCAAATGCCCGCCTCCGCGAGAGCTCATCCTGGAACCAAAAAATAGGGCGTTTGACTAGTCACTGGTCATCAAAAGCCCTAATATCAGCTCCACCCTAATAAAATGTCACCCAGGAATTGTTAGGAAACGCCTAGTATCGTTGGAAACGATCAACAAAACGTAACGAATTTGGTCTGTTTCAATTGGTTAACCATGGTTTGGACACATCTTGAAAATGCTCACAGTTTCTTTGAGCTCCCTCTGGAATACAAATGCAAATTTACTACCGCCAACAATTTCAGTTGGTTTCGTGCACCAAAGGAGGACCTCAAAGATCGGAAGGAGCATTTTCTGATTGCTGCGGAAAAAAAATCCACTTTGTGGCCAGATCTACCACCAAACTTCAGGTGGTTTGTAGATTATTATATGTTTTTAAGTAGCTTGCAGAATTGTCACAACAAATGCAAAAACTGGGACGTAATGGCAATTTTGTCCCAAAGCCGCAATTGCTATGACAAGAATGGAGATTATTACAACTTCCTTCACTATCCAGCTTTCTCAGACTACCAGGGCCAAGTTCTCGCCCTCATCAAGACGGTACCATCTTCACCATGGTCTCCCAGCTTAAGGTTAACTTGGCATCTTGTGGTGCCAGAAGAAAATTCACTGATTATCAACCTTGGAGACCTTATACAAGTAAGTGATCTGGATTAACTCATTCTTTGTGGTTTACAACCAAAAAGGTGTGCACAAACGGACTTTACAAAGGTGCTGTTCATCGTGTAGTAGCGAACAAGGCTCAACGTTTCTCCTTTGTTTACAACTATGTCCCCGAAGGCAAAACTAGAATCGCTCCTCTTCCACCCAAAGTAGATTTATTTGAAGTTGCGATTTGAGAACAAGAGGCTGGGAAACAGCTTTAGTAAAAGCATCACTATCAAATTGATTAGTATTGAAATCAATAAAAACTAATTCAATTGTCATGGTCAAGCCGAGGATCAAAGCTCGGATAAAAGACCCAATTGTACACAAAGACTCTCCAGGTGTCCATCAAGCCTCTGCACCTTGTGTTATCCTGCCAGCGACATCACTTCTGGTTGACACTGCTGCAGGAACAATCCAAGTGCTAGCTTGCCAAAGCCATTCTTGTGGAGCATTCTTGCGCCAACTTGACGTAAAAATTCACCAGCAAGCTCGCAACGAACATGTCAACTCGCTCATCCAGAAATTGAGAATGAATCATGATCTCCCGTTGCAAGACAAACTTCACAACTCTTCCACTGACTTTCTTCTCTTTCTCGGCCAAGCAGGGTTTAGAATGAAAGCACGTGGATGTGCTAGACGTGGTGCAGGAAAACATCAGCGGGAGATCGAGCGAGCAGTAAGTCCGAGCATTGGGAGCGCATACATCCAACTCCGTGTCCCAAAGCCAATTCTACCTCGTGGGTCGCTGCATATCGAAGATGTCCAAGAAACCAGAGAGAAACCCGGCAGCCAGAGCTTGAGAGTGAAAAAACTATGCCTTTCTCAAGAAACTTGTCCATGGCGGGCCTCTTCTTGTTCCTCTTCGTCGGCTCTTTCTTTCTTCGAACCCATCGAGCTCAAGCTAGCACAGGCCTTTCAATCCAGCGACGAAAGTTCAAGCATTGGGTTCCAGTCCCTCTTGGCGGATCCTTGAGATGGACTCGAGCGCTATCATTTCATGCGAGTAATGCCAGCATGAGAGCGTTCCAGGAAACGATGGTGCGCTCCAGCATTCCGCCATGGCATCCACCAGGCTGCCGCATTTGGCATACAAGTTGATCAGCGATGTTAAAGAAACAAGTTACAGTGCAGGTAGGAAGTGCATATGCTGCGTTTTCCCCCTTGGGCAAGGGAGCGAGTTGGCAGACGCTGGAGCAGCAGCAATCACTCCGAGGATGTCGGA